TTAACTCCAGATTTGTGTTCTATCTTAATTTAAACCCAAGAAAAATCTGTCAGATTAAATTATACATCTGTGACAAAATCGCACCTTACACCATTCAGATTTTTAAAACCAGTTCCCAGATTTTAAATGAACTTTTACCTTCCCTATTTTGATGCCAATTACAACGATAATTGGATAAAATATTGTCTCTAATTATACATCCCCAATTAATAGTGCCATAATTATACATATCCAGTTAATAGTGCCATAATTATACTATACCCAGTTAGTAGTGCCACAAGTAATACATAACTACCCGCTTCAATGTATACTTCTACAGTATTATGTATTTCCAGTTTCTACACAAGTCCAGCAAATTCGTGTTTCTCACATGGCCAACATACTCCATACAAAATGGATTGTATGTATAATTTCTATGTATGTATGTATGTATGTATTTATGTATGTATGTATGTATGTATGTATGTATGTATGTATGTATGTATGTATGTATGTATTTGTGTTAATTTCTACCTTCAGGTGATGAGTGTCTCTCTCTCTCACTCTCTCTCTCTGTTCTCCCTTGTTAAATTTAGTAAACTAGTTAGGAAGTTAACATCTGTATATACACGTGTAGTTAACATCTGTAGTTAACACGTGTAGTTAACGTACTTGAGTTCGCTGTGACACATCTTAACAGTGACCAATTATACACCTTGTTATCTGTAGGGCCAAACTGATACCCGGATCTAAAGCTGTCCCCGGAAATTAGGTTAGGTTACGTTAGGTTAGGTTAGTAGGTCAGATTAGGTTAAGAGGTAGGTCAGATTAGGTTAGAGGTAGGTCAGATTAGGTTAGAGGTAGGTCAGATTAGGTTAGAGGTAGGTCAGATTAGGTTAGAGGTAGGTTAGATTAGGTTAGAGGTAGGTTAGATTAGGTTAGAGGTAGGTCAGATAAGGTTAGAGGTAGGTTAGATTAGGTTAGAGGTAGGTCAGATTAGCTTAGAGCGAGGTATAATTAGGTTAGATTAGTTTAGGGATCGCTTTCGTTGGGTTAAATTACGTTTGGTTAGGTTAGGTTAAGTTAGATTAGGTTAGCTTAGGTTAAGCACTAGATCCGGGTGTTAAAGTGACCATCATATAGTAATCAATTTCCTTTTATATCAGATCCATTTTGATTTTTTTAGTTTCTTGGAAAAAAAGTCGAAAACAAGAAATCAAAAACAAAAACAAAAATTAGTGTGGCCAGAGTAGTTGAGAGACCAACCAATCACAACTCACCCTCAAGAGACCGACCAATCACAACTCACCCTCAAGAGACCTACCAATCACAACTCTCCCTCAAGCTAACAACAACACTGCCTTTCCATGGATGTTAATGAAATGTATGAGAGACGATACATTACAAAAAAAAACAAAAAAAAAACAAGAATCTATGGTTGAAGATGAGGCATTGAGGATATAAATGAGAAATATTATAACATGATCACTATGGCAGGATATACCATACATGACTACAGTACTTTACAATGGTGGTACATGATAGGTCAATAGATTAGGTCAATAGATTATCTCTCTCTAACCTGCCTTGGACATCTGTGTTGACTGTCTCTATCTCTCTTCCATCTCCAAGAAAAAATGGCCCAGGTCTCCCTCTATCTCTCTGCATCTCTTCCATCTCCGAGACAAAATGGCCCAGGTATCTCTCTATCTCTCTTCCATCTCCGAGACAAAATGGCCCAGGTCTCTCTCTATCTCTTTGTATGTCTTCCATCTCCAAGAAAAATGGCCCAGGTCTCTCTCTATCTCTCTTCCATCTCCGAGACATATGGCCCCAGGATACTTCTGACATGATAAAAGTGGATTTTTCGTTTAGTTAAAATGATAAACAAGGGCTACACTATATACAGGTTCTATCAAATAGGAAATATCAAAATAGTAAGTCTATGTACAATATACTCTAAGACACCGCTGCTGTACAATGGCATTTTACCTACAAAGAGTTTTAGGAGAAAAAACTTCCACATTCACTCAATTGTGTGTTTATAAGTTTGGTGGCCACAAGTTGACCTTACGAGGTGATGGGCGACTGTTCCTCAAAGATACTTACGAGCTTTATCCTTCTTCCTTATCTCCTGTAATCCAGTCTTGAGTCTTAAGTGTGAATCCAACGCCGTTTTATCCATCTATTTTGGCTTCTATCTTTTCGTTTTCCTTTGAATTCACTGGTACAGGGTGAGGGGTGGGTGAGGGGGAGGTCTATGTATCGTTAAGAAGGATCTTTGAGGACCAGAAGCCAACCCATTGTTTACATGGTTAGGATGAGGAACACAAACAATGCTAAAGTCCAGATGTAAACAAACCCCCATTCGATAATCTTGTTTACGTGGGACTGAGATGAGAGAAGTGTGTTGATCAAAAGATGAATCAAACAATAAATAAATGAAAAAAATTGAAATAAACCCCAAAAAGGTGAAATATTATAAACCTTAAAAAAAAAAAAATAGATGAAATATAATAAATCTTAAGAAAAAAACCAACAACATAAAACATACTTAGATATTATTTAAAGTTTCGTGCAAGAAGTCGCTAATGAGTTACCTAAAATGATATAGTATATATTAATATAAAAAGACCACTACTGTATTGTATGAGAGCCAGGGGCGTATGGACCTCAGTACTAACACCACCACACCGTCACTTAACAAGGCGGGTTGTTCACTATCACATAATATAACACACTACCAGCTGTTCCTCCTTTACCTGTGATTAATTAGAATTCATTACCTGTTTGGTCTCCTTAATTAGTGATAGGATTAATGACCAATTACCTTCAGGCTGATAAAGACATAGGTAGACATTGTATTGATCTTACCGAGTTTAATTACGCCTTCGTTATTAATTAAGTTATAAGGTCGTTTATAAGAGATTAATTAGGGGGTAATTTATTATTTTTTTCCGGTCAAATTTCAATCTTAATTTACCTGAAGTTGGGAAGGTATTGTTTTTCTAATCTCTTTTCAGACGTTTTCCAATGAAATTTAATCATTATTTTTTTTTATCAATTTACGATTAAATTTACGAGTTTCTGATAATTTAGTCCCGGAGCAACCCACCGTGTTAAGCAGAAAGAGACTAAAGCGAAGAGATTTGGTCAGTGTCTCTCTCTCACAATCTCTCTCTCTCTCTCTGTCTCTCTTTTTCTATCTTTCTCGTTCTTTCACTATATCTTTCTTTATATATACGTGTGTCTGATTGTCTGTCTCTCGTTCACTGATGCAGCACTTACAGATCCATACACTTGTGATTCGCTTAACTATCACTGCTGTCTTAATTATTATTATTATTATTATTAATTTCACTGTCAAATTCCCTCGACGTGAAAAATATATCTGTTAACATTCTCCAGGTGAGGGGGGTGGGGGGGGTGGGGGTGAAGAGGTGAGGGGGGTGAGGGGGGATTTTCACTACTGACGTCATATACAGTTCGTCTTGTAGCGAAAATTGACAAAGTTATTGTGATTTTTTTTTCTTTCGTACGATTATTAACAATGTTTTCTTTCACTGCAATTTATTTTTTTCCTCACTTAAGTTCATTCATAGTCGTCCTTTATTCACGCGTTCATTTAGAGAATTTCACTTACGATATTTTTTCTGTTTTAATCATAAGTTTATTCACAATGTTCTCTCTTGCTAAAAACCATTCACAGAACTTTAATTTTTTTCTATTATCTTTAAGTTTTATTCTCAAAGTTCTCCTCTCATATTACTGTCTTTAGAACTTTTTTTTTTGTAAATTCACCCAAAATGTCTTCATCTAAGTTCACTCACAAAAAAGTTTTATATCCTAATTTCATTCATTAAAAAAAGTTTATTCTCGTAAATTCACTTAAAAAATCCTGTATCACGTTCAAAAGCTATTAATAAAGGTTCAATTCACTTATAAACTATGATTGAGACCACGTAATTGAACCTTATCCTTAAATTAAAACTTTACCAATTATTAACTTTTTCAATTATCTTTATCAAGTTTATCAATGAGTTTATCAATTATTGTTATTTTTATTATTATTATTATTTACTTTTTTCTGTTTATTTTTAAGATAAACAAACCAACTGGTACGGATTTTATTTATAGTGTGAGGCTTGTGTATCATCGTCACCATCATCACTATCACCATCATCGTCGTCACTATCACCATCACCATCGTCACTATCACCATCATCATCACCATTATCATCACCATCATCGTCACTATCACCATCATTATCACCATTATCATCACCATCATCGTCACTATCACCATCATCATCACCATTATCATCATCATCCTCATCGTCATATCGCCATCATCATCATCAAGGTCACTATCACTGATGGTGTTGTGAGCTCAGCCGACGACACAGGTGGAAGGTGTGAGTTCTAACGACGACACAGAAGCTTCACAGTCTGGATTAGAGTAGACGATTCCCCGAGAGATGACTTCACTTGGCACATCACTGCCCATCACTGCATCCCATCATGCCCATCACTTCCCATCACTGCCTCCCATCATGCCCATCACTTCCCATCATGCCAACCACTGCCTCCCATCACTCCCATCACTGCCCATCATTTTCCATTATTGCCCATCATTGCCTCCCAGCCCGCCCATTACTGCCTCCCATCACACTCATCATTTCCCATCACTGTTTCCCATCACTGCCTCCCATCACTGCCTCCCATCATCACTTCCCATCACTATCATTGCGTTTCGTCACACCAATATCTTCCCATCACTCACCTTGTAGTCCACCCCATCACCTTCCAACTGGCACCTCCCATCAAACTCCCATCACACATCAACCAAAACCTCCCATCACTCTCCCATCACCACTTAACCCAAAACCCCCATCACCTTCCAAACCAACCCCTTTCCATTACACACCAACCATTTTCTCCCATCAACCAACCAACTAATCAATCAACCAACCCCTCCCATCACACACCCCCCCCACCCCATCAACCCCCGCCCACCCCATCAACCCCCATCAACACACACACACCAATTTCCTACCAGTTTATGGGCCAAAGTTCCCCGAAGTGTCTTGGGAGGTTGAAGCTAAGGTCCAATTTCTCACACACACACACACACTTTACTATCAAGACCCGAAGAAGAGAATGAGAAGCGTGGGCGTGAGGAGGAGAGCGATCGTCGAGGGTGTGGGCGTAGCTGTGGGCGAGGCGTGGCCGGAGTCGCTGAGGGCTGAGGCGTGGCAGCCCAGGTCCTCGGAGTGTAGGTCAAGGAGGGGAACTTGTTGACCTGTGGTGGGTTCAAAACATGTTGCCGCCCGTGCCAGAGTGTGTACCTGTGAGGGAAGAGAGAGAATGGTGGTGGTTAGTGAGGGAGGGGGGTGGTGATGGTCAGAGAGAGAGGGAAGGAGTGGGGGTAGGGAGGGAGGGAGGGAAGGAGAGAGGGAAGTAGGTACGAAGGGAGGGAAGAGAGAGAGGGGTGATGGTCAGAGAGAGAGAGAGAGAGAGATACACACACACACATTACCGTCAACATGAAGACTAAAGAGAGGTCATCACTCACAGTACATCAGTGTCCAGTGGCTGTCAGGGTAATACAGCCGCGCAAACATGGCCACACCAACAACACATTACCAACACGGCTATAACACACAACACAACACGGCCTCACCAACACACAACACAGCTTCACCAACACACAACACAGCTCACCAACACACAACACAGCTTCACCAACACACAACACAGCTTTCACCAACACACAACACAGCAGCTCACCAACACACAACACAGCTTCACCAACACACAACACAGCTTCACCAACACACAACACAGCTTCACCAACACACAACACAGCTTCACCAACACACAACACAGCTTCACCAACACACAACACAACCAACACAGCACAACACACACAACTTCACCAACACACAACACAACTTCACCAACACACAACACAGCTTCACCAACACACAACACAGCTTCACCAACACACAACACAGCTTCACCAACACACAACACAACTTCACCAACACACAACACAGCTTCACCAACACACAACATAACTTCACCAACACAGCCTCACCAACACACAAACAACTTCACCAACACACTAAAGGTCGCCCCTAGCAACCACTGCAACTCAGACAAGCGTATCGGTTGCTAAGGGAGTAATGAACCTTAACAACACCTCCTAAACATCACGACTACACCAAAACGGGTGAAATTACTTCAAGGGTCATTAGTACCACTAACTACTCCAATTACAACACTCTAATTCAGGCAACGAAATCACCGTGTTGCACAGTATCTAATTAGTTTAATGAAATCTTAATTGAAAAAAAAATAGTGATTGATAACTATTTGGTAATTTTATTTTTTCATTATTGTGATTGGTGAGTGATTCATGGCACGAGTCACTAGCCAGCACTCAATCACCTAAGAGTGGTGATTGCTGCTGAGGACGTCACAAATGATAGTAGGAATGTAATGAAAAAGGTTAATTATCCCTTGTTCACACACACACACACACACACACACACACACACCTCGATAGACTAACCTGCTGGGCGCCCTTAAGCATAGCTGTGTGTATCTGCAGCGTCTCCCTCAGCCACCTCCTCAGCCAGTGCCCCAGCCAGACCAGGGAACACTCACACGTCCAAGCGTTGCCCTCTAGCGCCAGTCCACCTGTTAAGTATGGGAGCTGCTGTGTTAAGAATGTTTACTAACTAGTACTATTACTACTACTACTACTATTACTACTACTACTACTACTAACTCCTCCTCCTCCTCCTCCAGCCCTCCTACCTATTCCTCCTCCTCCACCCCTCCTATTATCACCCCCCCTACCTCCTCCCCTTCCTTCTCCTCCCCCTTCTCCTCCACCACCTCCTATTACCTCTTCCTCCTCCTACCCCCTCCTACATCTCCCATACGCTACCTGGAGAACTTTTTTTGATTAAACTCTGAAAAAAAAGGTAACAAATTCCTCAACAAAAGCCCAGAGGTCACAAGCTGAGGCCACTAACTTGTGTGACCTCGAACAAAAGAACGTGACGTCACAGGTCAAACAAAAGTCCAGGTAGCAGGTGTTAAGGGGAAGACAGGGGAAATAATAGATAGAAAGATAGATAGATAATGACAGAGAGAGAGAGAGAGAGACAGTGAAATAAGTAGATACATAGAGAGAAATAAAGACAGACAGACACACAGGTGGACATATAAATAGATGGTGAGATAGAGTCTACTACAGTCCAGGTGTGAATGTTATTGTTACCTGTCCGGGCAAAACTAATTAACCTTCCCTTGGGAGAGGAGTCAGGTGAACCCCGTAAAATTAAGAGGGAAAGTAAGTGAAGGAGAGGGGTGAGAGGGGTGAGAGGGGTGAGACAGAGAGAGAGAGGGAAAGAGAGTGAGGGTGAGGAGTAGGAGAGAGAGAAAGAGAGTGGGAAAGAGAGGGATTGGGTGTAGGGTGGAAGAAAGAGCGAGGGAGAAAGAGAGATAAAGCAACAGAGTGGGAAAGAGAGGGAGTGGGTGAAGGAGAGACAGACAGATAGACAGACAGACAGACAGACAGACAGTCAGACAGAAGCAAAAACAATTTATAGGTACAGACGACAAAACCCACAACCACCCGCCCACCCAATCCGCCACACATCAAAAAAGACACACCATTAGACAGACAGAGAGAGAGACAGAGACAGACAGACAGACAGACAAACAGAGAGACACGTACCAGCAACAAATGTCGTGCCCCTACTCTCCCACTCAGAGCCGTTCTCATACAGCACGTGGGGGTTGAGGAACTTGAGTTGGTTCCGCCTTAAGTTGAGGGAGAGGTAAGCCACGTCTGAGAGCTGCGTCAGGAGGCCGTCTGGTAGTGACTGGATCGACGTGTCCTGTGGGAGAGATGGGTTGGTGTAGATACTGGGGTACATGAAGATATTGAGCAGATAACAAAGATAACAAGAAACTGAGAAAAAGGTAACAACAGCACATAACAGAGATAACAAGAAACTAAGACGATAACAACAACACAAGATAACAGAAACAGATAACTTACCGTAATACTCAACAATAATTCATGTTTGTTTTGAAATCCTCGGAAGGTTTTGGAGTCGATATCCTTCAGGTTCCTGCCGGTGATGTGGAGTTCCTTCAGTTTAGGACCGAAGGCGCCCGTGATCTGGTCCGTAAGGGCGTTCTCACGAACCTCCAAGTGAAGCTTCTGCAGGGTGTGGACCGTAGCCAGCAGGTGACCCGTACGGAACCTGGAGGACGTAAACAAGGCCGTACAGGTGTGTTTTCTACGAGCAGTACTGTACCTAATTACCGATAACCTACCTGTAATTAGTGATAACACACCTAGTACCCACCTGTAATTAGTCATAACCCACCTAACCTCAACACCCACCCACCAACCTCCTCATCAGCCACCCACTCACCCCATCACCCACCTACCTACCCCATCACTCACCCACCCCATCACCCACCCACCCCATTACACACCTACCTACCCCTGTACCCACCCACCCACCCCATCACCCACCTACCTGCCCCAGTACGTCACCTACCTGTACTTCTCGATGCGTGGGTAGGTGTTCATATACAACTCTCTCAGGAAGGTCATGTGAGACAGGGCGTCGTAGTCGAAGCGTTTGATCTCGTCCAGGTTACTGAGTACTAGTGTCTCGATACTGGACGCCCCGCCGAAACTGTCCTTCGTCAACGACTGCGGCAGGATGAGAAGGAGGAGGAGGAACTTGTGAGTGACATGAGTATTTTATTGTGAGTTTGTGAGTTAGAATTAGCTTTTAATGTGAGCTAAAATTAACCTTCATGTGAGCTAAAATTAACCTTCAAGTGAGCTAAAATTAACCTTCCTGACGTGAGCTAATTAGTCTTCCTCACGTCAGCTAAAATTAGCTCTCCTGACGTGAGCTATAATTAGACTAAAACGTGTACCATATCAGCTATAATCTTGGTTGAGCTAAATTTAGACTGACATGAGCTAAAAATTTATAAGACTCACGGAGGTAAAATTAGAGTTATTGAAAGCTGAAGTCACTCATAAAATTACCTTAGAGATTATGAGATAAAGTCGGATCTTTTTTATCTCTCTCTCTCTCTCTCTCTCTCTCTCTCTCTCTCTCTCTCTTTCTTTTTGGGTGCGATGAACAAATACACAACACAAATACTTATCCATCTCTACATACATACATACATACATACATACATACATACATACATACATACATACATCAGAGAGCAAAACGCTAGGGGTGGTGGGTCGAGGGAGAAGGAGGGGAGAGAGAGGGGTAAGGGAATGGGGTGAAGGGGTGAGAGAGGTGAGGGGAAGGAGGAGGGGGAGGGGGGTCACGTTGATTCACCTGTCCATTACAGCGTTTAGACAAAGCATTGAATTATTGAGGAACTTAAAGTAGATGGTGCACCTGGGTGGGGGTGTGGGGGTGGGGGTGAGTGTTGGGGGTCACTACTACCAGAGAACAACAAAAACTCCAAAACATTGATCCCTTCCAAAACACACACACACACACACACACACACACACACACAAGGTAATACTTGACCCTTGTAATATATTCAATATTTGTCTGTATAAAAACTCTAATTAATTTAATATAAAATCAATTATGATAATCAGGTAGACCAATTTATCTTAAAGAGATAAACTAATTATCCTCAACAAGTTTCACCTAATTAGCCTAAACAGGTATTCCTAATTACCATACACAGGTAAATTCAATTACCTTAATCAGTCTACCTTTTTCACCTCGTCAACGTTTCTCACCTGATCTAACTTTCTTACCTGGCCTAACTCTCTCACCTGGTCCACATGACTCACCTCTATGGGGTTAAAAGAGAGGTCGAGGAACTTGAGGAAGGGCATGTGTCGCCAGAGCCTTGAGCGGACCTGCGGCAGGTCGTTGTAAGAGAGGTCAAGGGAGCGCAACTGGTATAGGCTCTCGATACTCTGCACTTCGATCTCAGACATGTGGTTGGAGGACAAATTGAGGGAGATGAGGTTGGGCAGCGGGATGATGGGAGACGAACTGAAGCCGATGTTGGCCATGTTGAGTTTCTGGACGTTCTGTGTGTAGTGGAACAGCTCCTTGAAGTTGGCACGGACGGGGTTGCCGCTCAGGTCCAAAGTGATGAGTCTGGTGAGGCTGACGAAGACGTTGTCGGGGAGGATGGTGAGGCGGTTGGTAGCCAGGTTCAGCTCGATGAGGTTGGGGAAGCTGTCGAACATGGTGCTGTCGAGGTGTTCAAGGTGGTTGTGGGAGATGTCGAGGTAGTGTAGCGTTGTCTCCACCTCCGCGAATCCTGCCGTGGGCATGGAGACGAACTCGTTGTGGGAGAGTTTGAGTTTCTCCAGCTGTGTGCCGCGGAAGACGGAGTTGGGCAGAGACCGCAGCTCGTTGTTGGAGAGGTCGAGGACTCGTAAGAAGGTTACGTCGGTGAAACACTCGGGTGGTAAGTTCTTAAGATGGTTATGACTCAAGTCCATGAACTGGACTTTCTCCAGGGAGGCAAACGCTCTTGACCGAATTTGTTCGATACCGTTGTGGACGAGGATCAACATCTGGAGTTTCTCGAGATCCCCGAAGGCGCTGCTGTCTAGCTTCTTGATTTTGTTGTAACCAAGATAAAGACGCTGAAGAGAGAGCGCGATGGATCCCAGGAAGTTGACAGGCACCTCCTTCAGTTCGTTACGGCTGACGTCGAAGCTCTTGATATTCGGCGCCGGACCAGAGCTGACACTCAGTTCTTTGATCTTGTTGGAGGAGACATTGATGGCCAGAGCGTCTATGGCGGTACTCACGTTAGTGAAGGCAGCCAGAGAGAACTCCCTCAGCCGATTGTGTTGAAGATCCAGCTCCATCAGATTGGGAATATCAGAAAACGCCCGAGGCTCAATTTGCTCGATTTGGTTATCGCTGAGCAGAACAGTGTTAAGTTTGGGCAGTCCCTTAAACGACTCAAAGTGGAGAGTTTTGATTTTATTGCTGGTGAGGACGAGAGTTCTCAAGTTGTCGAGGTTAGCGAAGGTGTGGACTTCCACCCGCTCCAGGAAGTTGAGCGCCAGTCTGATGTCGCCGAGTTTCTTGTGGACGTTCTGGTGGAAGAGCGTCTTGGGGATGTGTGAGAGGCGGTTGGAGTCCATGTTGAAGTAGCGCAGCTCACCGAATGAGTACAAGGCTGTCTCTGAGATGGTTCTAAAGTTATTGTTGTCGAGGGCGATCCACTGTAGCGACGTGAGCGGCTTCAGGACCTCCTCGGGGAAATAATCATCCCTGTAGAACCCGAAGCTGATCTCGAGGATTTCCAGTGTGTTGAGAACATCAATGAAGGAATCGGGATTGATGTCAACTATTCTGTTGAAGGAGAGACTCAACTCCCGGAGTTTTGGAGCGTGTCTGAAGGCGTGTGGCGGAATCTTGAAAATTCTGTTGTTCCTCAGTACGAGAGTGTCCAGGTTGTCTCCCCACGTCTCGAAGTCCTCCTCCAGGATCTCGGTAATCTGGTTGTGACCGAGGTTGAGGTGGGCGATGGTGCTGCAGTTCTCAAGGGAGGCTCGAGGTATGGCCTTCAGCTGGTTCCCGGACAGACTCAAGGACTCCAGAGACTCACAGAAGGACCGGAAGGCGTCGTCTTTGATGGCAGCAATTTGGTTATCGGGTAGATAGAGGTAACGGAGTCTCTTTAGGTGAGACAGAGCTTTAGGAACGGTCTGTAACCTGTTCTTCTCGAGGTCGACCATCACCAGGGAGTTCTCGGGTCCGCCCAAGAACGCGTTGTCGGTGATGTTGAAGATGTTGTTGGCTGAGAGGTAGAGCCGCCCGGGGTTGAGGCCCTGGAAGGCGCTGTCTTGAATTTCCGTCAGGAGATTAAAATCCAGATGAAGGTCTCGAACAGTGAGAGAGCCGTTGAAGAGATTATTTGGAATAAACCGAATGAAATTTTCCCCGAGATCTAACTTGTCCAGTTTCTTCTGAACGATGAAGCCAGTGTCTGGAAGCCTATCAAGAAGGTTTCCTCTGAGGAACAGCCACGTCAGGTCCCGGATGCTACTGACGGCCTCTGAGGGGAAGCCTGTCAGTAGGTTGTGGTTGAGACTCAGAGTCTGAATATTCCTGGAGAGGGAGTCTCGTTCCAGCGCCAGGATGTTGTTGTCGTCCAGGTTCAGCCAGAGGAGCCGCTTACACCTGGAGAACACGTCGCGGGGCACATGGTCCACGTCGTTCTCCCCCAGGAAGAGTGTGGCCAGGGTGTCCCGCAGCCCCGCCCAGTCCTCCGCCAGCAGCTCCGCGATGTGGTTCCTGTCAAGACACAAGAGGTCAGGTCAGATGGGGTGAGATATCGTCAGATACTTCTCCAAGGTCTCTCTGGATAGGGTGAAATAATCAGATATCTCTCCTAAGTTTCCCCAGTGAGTGAGAGAGAAAAGAGAACAGCTCACATCAAGCGAAGCACAAATTCATAAACAACTCCATAATACAAGTTCCCCTGAGAGACCGGACCGAGACACCAGGGGAGACGAGAGGAGATTATCTCTCTAAAACTCTCCAAGACGAGAGAGACACTGTGTGATCTCCCTCGACACCACCGCCTTGAGATGACTGAGAAACATTAAGACACTATGTTAGATTAGGTTAGGTTAGGTTAGATTAGGATTAAATTTGACTATGCTTACTCAAAGGCTTATAACTTAATCCCTCGTGCTAAAATTGTCGTATTTTTTTTATTTATATTATTTTTTCGAATTAAGTTCTTGGACATAGTTGAGAAATTAATTAATCTTTAGTTAATTTAATTTGTCCAGTGCATTCCCTTTATACGAATCGTTTTTCGATAATCCAAAAATTTCTTTCATTAATTTCATTCACTCATCCCAGTTCATTCTTTATCATGATTTCAATTCTTTCTTGGTACTAATGGGGGTATTTCTGGGGGGGGGGAGAGGGGGTGGAGGGAGACCTAACTTCGCCAGTTTCAGGGAGAGAAGGGAGGGAGGGAAGGGAGAAGAGGGAGGGAAGGGGAAAGAAACAAGGAGGAAGGAGAGAGAGGGAAGAAAGAAGAGACAGAGAAGGAGAAGAGGGAGGGAAGGGAGAAGAGGGAGACCTAACTTCGCCAGCTTGAGGGAGAGTCAACATATTTGTGTTGTGGTCTCCTGGGCGGCCAAAGTTTCGAAGGTGTTTTGTGGTACTGACAAGAGCTACATTTTACCTGTGTTGTGTCTCGCTGTTAAAACTTGTTGGTGACGGCGGGACTTGTCTGACCCACTCTCTCTCTCTCTCTCTCTCTTCTTCACTACCCCTTTCTCCTTATTTCCCCCTCCTTCCTTCTCTTCCCTCTTTCTCTTCCCTTCCCTCTACTCCATCTCTTCCTTTCCTCCCTCCTTCGTTCTCTTCCTTTTCTCTTCCTTGCCTCTTCTCTCTTCCTCCCTCCTTCTCTTCCCTCTCTCAATCCCTCCCTCATTATTTCCCTCTCTTCCTCTCTCTTCCCTTCTCTTCTTTTCCCTCCCTCTCTCTCTTGCCTTTCGCATCCTCCCTCCCTCTCCTCCCCTCCCTCTCTTCTCCAGAACCTGCCACTCCCCTGCCAAATGACCCCAGAATCTGCCACTTCTTCAACATAGGAGGTCAATTAGGACATTGGAGGCCAGCTAGAGGAAATAGGAGGCCAGCGAGGGTACAGTAAGCCAAATAGGACATAGGAGGCCAGCTAGGACATTGGAGGCCAGCTAGGATAAGGCCGGATACAAAAGGATACAACTAGACAAGGTAAGAGGCCAGCTAGACAAGACAGGAGGCCAGTTAGACGATATAGAAGGCTAGTCAATAACTCATGTAGCCAGGTACACAAGGTAGGAGACCAGCTAGACGAGACAGGAGACCAACTAGACAAGGCAAGAGGTCAGCTAGACAAGGTAGGAGGCCAGCCAGGGACACATGTAGCTAACTAGACAAGGCAGGAGGCCAGGTAGACAAGGCAGGAGGCTAGCTAGACAAGGCAGGAGGCCAGCTAGACACGGGCGGATACCAAAGGACACAGCTAAATAATACAGAAGAAGGCTCAAGCCCCGCCTGTCGGAATCTCGAATCGACAGCTGAAGTAAAATGCCATGAAAATGTCAGTGGACCGGAGGCTGACATTTTCCACCTACGTTCACCGGCCGTGTGGACACTGTGTGGACATTAAGCATACCGTGTGCATATTAGGACATAGTTTAGGCATTTAGGACACCTTTTTCAATATTTAAGACGATGTGTTAGTTTTTAGGACACTGAACAAAAAAAAAAGCTATGTAAATTAGGACACGGTATGGACATTTAGGACACTGTGTGGAGCATTAGGACACTGTGTGGAGCATTAGGACACTGTGTGGAGCATTAGGACACTGTGTGGTGCATTAGGACACTATGTGGAGCATTAGGACACTGTGTGGAGCATTAGGACACTATGTGGAGAGCAGGATGCTGTATTAGCATTTAGGACACCATATAAATATTTAGGACACTGGGGAATCATTTAAACAATATGTGGGCAATTAGGACACTGTATGGGTCAATTGGCACACTATGTAAGTATTTGGGACAAAGAATGGACATATAAGACACTGTGTGGATACTTGGAACACTATGTAGGTAAGGAAATGTGGACATCTGGTCAATTGGGGACATCGAGGACACTACATATTCAAAGGTGACTCTACCGGAGAATTATTCCATCACAAATGTAAATGTTGCTCTCCCTTAGGTCTTGTGTGTGTGTGTGTGTGTGTGTGTGTGTGTGTGTGTGTGGTGTGTGTGTGTGTGTGTGTGTGTGTGTGTGTGTGTGTGTGTGTGTGAAGGTGCGCGCGAGGAGGTGCCATAAATAACAAGACAAAATAATATACAAAGAACAAACAGAGAGAGAGAGAGAGAGAGACTCACCCATGCAGGTTGATCCACTCGAGAGCCTTGAGCGGTCTGAGAGCCTGGCGAGGGACAGCTGTCAGCTCGTTGAAACTCAGGTCCAGTGACTGTAGAGAGTGACTCATACCACTGTGGAGGAGAAGGGGGTCTTGTGGTTAGTGGTGGTGGTGGTGGAGGAGGTCTTGTGGTTAGTGGTGGTGGTGGTGGAGGAGGTCTTGTGGTTAGTGGTGGTGGAGGAGGAGGAAATCTTGTGGTTAGTGGTAATTGGTGGTGAAGGGGGTCTTGTGGTTAGTGGTGGTGGTGGTGGAGGAGGTCTTGTGGTTAGTGGTGGTGGAAGAGGAGGGGGTCTTGTGGTTAGTGGTGGTGGTGTGGTATATTTTAATGCTTCCTATATGAAGACCTGTGGTTAGTGGTAGTATGTGGTGGTGGGGGTATGTGGTGGTTAGTGGTAGTATGTGGTGGTTAGTGGTAGTATGTGGTGGTTAGTGGTGGCTTGTGGTAGTATATAGTGGTGGTTGCTGCTGGTTAATGTTCCTTTCTGATGGTAATTCATGGTACTAATGGTAGTGTGTGGTAGTGTATGGTAGTGGTCAGTAATGGCTTATGGTTAAGTTATTTCCTGTAAAACATTACAAAACAATAAGACACAACACATTATTCAAACACACAGACATACACCCAGGTTGGAATACACATCATACAGACGTAATATACACATAATATATTCATACGAGGATTATGAATTAAAAATTTATAAAAAAAAACAAAAAATAAGAAAAAAAAGTTGACATATAAAGAACGGTCGAGGCGCCACTTGTGGATGAAATATTTATAGGAGGCGAGGAAGCAGTGATTACGGGTGTGTTGGCTGTGAATTAGGCCAAGTTTTAATGAGTTCCAGGAGAGCCCAAGAGAGGGAGTGTCTGGAAGATGCCGTCGACGCCACATGGTCCTGGAAGACGTTTTGAAGACAATAGGGATCTGGAAGGAGGGTTTAAGTCCACGTGAATCGAGAAGGAGTGTTCCAAGCCACAAGGAGTGTTCCAGGCCACAAGGAGTGTTCCAGGCCACAAGGAGTGTTCCAGGCCACAAGGAGTGTTCCAGGCCACAAGGAGTGTTCCAGGCCATAAGGAGTGTTCCAGGCCACAAGGAGTTCCAGGCCATAAGGAGTGTTCCAGGCCACAAGGAGTGTTCCAGGCCACAAGGAGTGTTCCAGCCACAAGGAGTGTTCCAGGCCAGGCGAGTGTTCCAGGCCATGAGTGTTCCAGGCCACAAGGGAGTGTTCCAGGCCACAAGGAGTGTTCCAGGCCATAAGGAGTGTTCCAGGCCACAAGGAGTGTTCCAGGCCAAGGAGTGTCTCCAGGCCACAAGGAGTGCTCCAGGACTGGGAGGAGTGTTCCAGGACACAAGGAGTGTTCCAGGACACAAGGAGTGTTTCTCAGGCCACAAGGAGTGTTTCAGGCCACAAGGAGTGTTCCAGGCCACAAGGAGTGTTCCAGGCCATAAGAAGTGTTCCAGCTACAAGGAGTGTTCCAGGGACCGAGGAGTGTTCTAGACAAGGGAGTGTTCCCAGGACACAAGGAGTGTTCCAGGCCACAAGGAGTGTTTCTAGGCCACAAGGAGTGTTCCAGGCCACAAGGAGTGTTCCAGGCCACAAGGAGGTTCTAGGCCATAAGGAGTGTTCCAGGCCACAAGGAGTGTTCCAGGCCACAAGTGAGTGTTCCAGGCCACAAGGAGTGTTCCAGGCCACAAGGAGTGTTCCAGGCCATAAGGAGTGTTCTAGGCCACAAGGAGTGTTCCAGGCCACAAGGAGTGTTCCAGGCCACAAGGAGTGTTCCAGGCCACAAGGAGTGTTCAGGCCACAAGGGAGTGTTCCAGGCCACAAGGAGTGTTCCAGGCCACAAGTGAGTGTTCCAGGCTATAAGGGAGTGTTCAGGCCACAAGGAGTGTTCCAGGACTGGAGGAGTGTTCTAGGAGACACAAGGAGTGTTCCAGGACACAAGGAGTGTTCTGTGACTGGAGGAGTGTTCCAGGACACAAGGAGTGTTCCAGGCCACAAGGAGTGTTCCAGGACCGGAGGAGTGTTCCAGGACACAAGGAGTGTTCCAGGACACAAGGAGTGTTCCAGGCCACAAAGAGTGTGCCAGGCCACAAGGAGTGTTCCGGGACACAAGAAGTGTTCCAGGCCACAAAGAGTGTTCCAGGACACAAGGAGTGTTCCAGGCCACGTGAATCTGGAATGTCTTCTTATACTGTGTGTCTTCAGCTCGGATGGTTATGGAATGAGCCAAGACTAATGAGGTCGAGGAAGGCCAACAGTAGGACGGCTGGACCGAGCCTCGTGGACCCAAGAAAAAAAGAGAGAAAGAAAAAGAGATTCTGGAGGACTTATTCCAGACTACGTAATAGAGCTGGAAGGTCTTACACTACATTGACGGTGAACCAGAAAGAGACCGAACTGAACACCTGGGGAAAAAAAGGTCTATAGTCTGGAAGAATGTTTAGTCTTCGAATGAAACCTTCCTACTCTTGAACATCTGGGCCATCACTTAGTGTGTTTTTCCAGCTGGGATGAATGTGGGTTGGTCTAAGGTTTAATGAGTTCCAGAAGGACTAAGAAGAGTATCTGGAAGAGAGGGGAAGATCAGGAGGGAGTGGCAGGGAAGGAGAGGGGATGGAAGGGGAAGAGGGAATGGGAGAGGTGTGGTGACATTCCAGGCCATGAATTCCTGGAGGGGACTCAACGGAGTGTCACCAAAGGGTATTCCACGACTAGGGATCCGGAAGGACTTTTACTGTGTTTTTCCTCCTGCGTTGACTGAGTACTAGGCCAAGATTTAATGAGTTCCAGAAGGGCTCAAAAGAGTGCCTGGAAGGAGGGTTTCAGGTCGGAAGGGGGGGAGCCATTACGGGGCTCACCGAGTTTTCCAGCGTAAAATATTAGCTCTGGGATACTGCACACGAACACCAAGGTAGGTTACAGTAGGAGTGAGAATGGACGGGAGCAATGCAAGCTTTTTTCTTCAGTCATCTTTTTTTTTCTTTAAGTTAGTATTAAAGAGAGATAAACTGAGACCCTTATTATAGCGGAGTTTGAGAGAGAGAGAGAGAGAGAGAGAGAGAGAGAGAGAGAGAGAGAGAGAGAGAGAGAGAGAGAGAGAGAGAGTCCCTCTTCCTCATTACAGCAACACACAAACAGGATTTCCGTACCAAGAGTTAAGATGTTAACCACAAGTTTATTATTAACCTCCTCGCACCTCTATTCTATAACAAAATAACTACAGAAAAGTAAATAACAAAAACAACAAAAACAAATACAAATAAAAAAACTAATAAGAAAAATAACAAAACAAGAATATATAAATAACAATAAAAACAACAAAACTAAACAAAAACAACCAGAATAACAAGAACAGCCGACAAAAATTACCATCACAAAATAAACAGTGTGTGTGTTGTGTGTGTGTGTGTGTGTGTGTATGTGTGTATGTGTGTGTGTGTGTGTGTACGTAATAATGAAGAAGGCTTGGATCGTAACTCCTCAAGATTCGTAAGATGAAAATTCTTTATCAAGTCAAGACGTAAGAATCCAGTTAATTAGTTGACTTTAAGGTAAACAAAAAATAAACACCCCCATTCCCCCACCCCCTTCCCCTCCCTATCCTTCCCCTACCCATCCCCATTCCCCTATCCTTCCCCACTACCCCTATCCCCACGCACCCCATCCCAACCCCCTGAGGAAAAATGGCATCCTATTCAAACTAAGACTCGACCCTTAACTAGATACGCTCAGTTAAGAGATAAAAATAAACGTAATGGTTCTCTCGGGAGGTTCTATTCTCTAAGTTAATTTTGTGACGAGTTAAGTGAACGTATCTAGTTAAGGTAACGTAGAAACTAAGTGAACGTATCTAGTTGTTACTGAAAGAAACCCAAAATCTCTCTTGGGATGGTAATATTAACGTGTGTGTGTGTGTGTGTGTGTGTGTGTGTGTGTGTGTGTGTGTGTGTGTGTGTGTGTGTGTGTGTGTGTGTGTGTGTGTGTGTGTGTGTGTGTGTGTGTGTGTGTGTGTGTTACTGTACCTGTATGTCTGTCTGTGCGTATATTAGTACCTGTAATTGCCCCTGTGCTTGTGGTTGTGCTTGTACCTGTGCATTCTGTACCTGTAATAATTATACCTGTAGTTCAACCTGTAATAATTACACCCGTAGTTTTACCTCTAATTATCTATGTATTCACACACTTGTATTGGCATCTACATCTGAAGACACACCTGTTCCTACACCTGTACATGTATCATTACACAGAGAGAGAGAGAGAGAGAGAGAGAGAGAGAGAGAGAGAGAGAGAGAGAGAGAGAGAGAGAGAGAGAGAGAGAGAGGGGACTTAACAAAAGGTCAGGGTTTGTTATAATCTAGATACAAGTTTGTGAAAGAGAGTGAAAACATGGGACTATTTTTGGTGCTTCTGAGCCGATTGTTCCCATAAAGGTCATATCCTGTCGTGGCAAATTAACAAGAGCTCTCATGGTAATTTACGATCTTTATTGAACGTGAAAGAAAGTTTTATTTTCGATACATGTACGACTGGAAGGCCTTACGTTTACACAAAAGTTACGATCTGTCAATTGAACGTCGAAGAACGTTTTAAAGCCAGCCATGTACGACTCGGTAACCTTACGTTCACACACAAGTTACGACCTGCCTATTGAACGTCTAAGAACGTTTTAAGGCCAGTCATGTACGACTCAGTAACCTTACGTTCACACACAAGTTACGACTTGTCTATTGAACGTCTAAGAACGTTTTAATCCCAGCCATGTACGACTCAGTAACCTTACGTTCACGCTCACACAAGTCGCCATCTGTTTGTTGTGAATACGTGAGAGAGTCGCCTGATATCGAGGCTCCTGACAACCCGTATTTAATATTCCAATCCGTGTTGTACAAGAGAGTGTAGCCGTGTCTAACAATTCCTATTTTCATTTATCTCTCTCTTCCGTTCTTTATTACGTATTTCTTTCATGCATTTTTATTCCAGTTTTTACTTTAATTTCTTCATTCGTTGAGATTAATTCTCAGTTCCAGTTTGTTTCTTATTTTTGTTGTGTATTTTTGAAAGTTTATCGTATTCATTTCCGTGTTCTTATTTTTTTATTCTGTTTTCTCGTTATTTCTCTTCTTCGTTTACTCTGGGGTCTGTTTTTCCTTTCATTCTGTTTCTAGCTTTATCGCTTTTTCTTTCTTTATTCTCGTTTCTGATCTTTTCTCATATGTTATTGCTATTTTTATCTCTTCCTCCCGTCTCTCTCTCTCTCTCTCTCTCTCTCTCTCTCTCTCTCTCTCTCTCTCTTCAATAAATCTCTCCAAATTTCTCCAATTCCTCACTTTATTGTTTTATTTCCTTTAGTAATTGTCTTTATCTCGTCCCATCCAATTCTCAATTTGTCTCTCACTCCTTCTCAACGTCTCTCTTCAATTCCTCTCTTTATCTCGTCTCTCCCAATTCTCCAGTTGTCTCTCACTTCTTCTCTTCGTTTCTCACCCCCTCTCTTCCCTCGGGTGAGAGATAGTGTAGCACTGTATTCCACCAGCGTCTCTCCGTGTCTCTCTCTCTGATATATCTCTCAATTTCCGACTACAGTGTTTCCGTCTCACCCCATTTACTGTGTTCATGGCTATCTCTCTATCTCTCTCTCTTTGTTTGTCTATTTCTCTCTATCTTTATCTTTCTTATCTGTATCTGTTTACCTTTCTATCTGTTTCTCTTTGTCACTATCTCACTCTGAATCTCTTTGTCTGTGTCTATCTCTATCTCTCTATCTGTCTCTATCTCTCTCTTAGTATCTCACCTCTCTCTCTCTCTCTCTCTCTCTCCTATCCACCCTTTCTCATCTTGTCCCTCTCTCATCCACCCTCTTTGCAATTCCTAATCCAAATGACATACTTCCATCACACACACACACCACCCAACACGTCTTCCCTCTCTTCCCTCCTTCCTTCCTTCATTTCTTTCTTCCTTCCTTCCTTCCTTTCTTCCTCCTCCTCTCCTCACCCCTTTGTTTCCATACCTGTCTTAATCCACTTACACCAAGATCTAATTATACCATGTTGTTAGTATACCTGCCAGCCACACCCCATCTCTTTATTCAATTGGGATTCATTTTTGTTGAGGGTAACCTGTGTGTGTGTGTGTGTGTGTGTGTGTGTGTGTGTGTGTGTGTGTGTGTGTGTTTTTATGATTTTTTTTTTTTTCGTTTTTGTTTATTTTTTGTCGTGTTTGGTTTTAAGGTGTACATACATACATACATACATACATACATACATACATACATACATACCTGAAGGCTTTATCACCAATAAGACGTATGCTGTTCGACATCAGGCGCAGGTTGCCTACTCTCGTGTCACCAAAATCACCATCAGCAATCACCTCAAGCCCAGAGTTCACCAGGTCCATTTGTAGCACCAGGCCGGGCGGGATACCTGAGGGAGAGAGAGTAGATTGGTGAGATGAGAATGGTGAGGGGGTGATGATGAGGTGGTGATGGTGAGGTGGTGATGGTGAGGTGGTGATGATGAGGTGGTGATGATGAGGTGGTGATGAGGTGGTGATGGTGAGGGTGATGATGAGGTGGTGATGGTGAAGTGGGAGGTAGGGGAGGAGGTGAGGAGAGGGAGATGAGGTGAAGTTAGGGGTGAGGGGAGGTTAGGGAGGAAGGAAACTATAAAACTTGGGGAAACTTAATGTGTTACCAGGAGAGAGAGAGAGAGAGAGAGAGAGAGAGAGAGAGAGAGAGAGAGAGAGAGAGAGAGAGAGAGAGAGAGAGAGAGAGAGAGAGACCACCCCTGGCTCACACACAGGCACAATAACCTTAAGGGGAAACTAAGAAAGGAACAAAATTGTTGCCATCATAAATCTGGCCACGCGACCACCATGACGTATAATTTGCTTTTTACAAGTTCTGAAAATACTGAGGAGGGGGGGGAAGAGGGGAGGGGAGGGGAGGGAGGGGGGGAGGAGGGGGAGGGGAAGGGAGGGAGGGGGGTGGAGGAGGGAAGGAGTAGGGAGGAGGAGGGTAAGGAACAAGAAAGGGGTGGAGATGGAAGAGGAGGAAATAGGAGGAGGGAAGAAAGGGAAGGGGTGGAGGGGAAAGGGAAGATGGAAGGAGGAGGAGGAAATGGGAAGGGAGGAGGAGGGAAGAAGGGAAGAGGCAAGAAAAATGGAAAGGGGGAAGGAGAGAAAGAAGAGGAAGGGGAAGAGGAAAGTGGACGGGGAAGAGAGAGGAGGAAAGAGGGGGATCAAGAGAGAGGAGGCGAAGGAGGAGGGATATAGATAGATAGATGGATAGATAGATAGACAATTATGGGCAGGCAAGAGAAAGAAACGGAGAGACAGACAGGTGTGGCTGGGTTCACAGCCACAGGCACAGTAATATTGGTGTGTCCGGCTGTGGCTCACGGGGAGGGGGGGTGGGGGGAGGGGTAGGAAGGGGGGGGAGGAGGAGGAGGTTCAGTCACTCATCACCCATGCCGGAGTTATGGCGGGGAGGGACGAGGAGGAGGGAGGTGAACGGGCCTCTCCCACCTCCCTCCCTCCTCCTCCCTCCTCCCTCTCGATACCTTTTAGGATATTACAAACGTGTGTGTGTGTGTGTGTGTGTGTGTGTGTGTGTGTGTCAACCTACATCTCTCTCTCTCTCTCCCCAACACCACAGTCTCTCACAGGCACAGGTCATCCCACCTCCTACCTGCCTTTATGCTCATTTACCTGTACCTCTATCTGTACCTGCACCCTGCACCTGTTGAAACTACCTGTATTATATCTGTACCTGTATCTGCATTATCCCACAAACCGTTTTCTATATCAGTTATCCAGCATGGCCACCAGTTATCATCCAGCATGGCCACCAGTTATCATCCAGCATGGCCACCAGTTATCATCCAGCATGGCCACCAGTTATCATCCAGCATGGCCACCAGTTATCAGCCAGCATGGCCACCAGTTATCATCCAGCATGGCCACCAGTTATCATCCAGCATGGCCACCAGTTATCATCCAGCATGGCCACCAGTTATCATCCAGCATAGCCACCAGTCATCATCCAGCATGGCCATCATCCATCTCCCAGGTGGCCATGGCGCTGGACCCGAGCAAGGTGGCCGCAAGTTATCAAGTGTTGTGCAGTAAATTTGTTGCCTCTCGTATATATCTTAGTGCGACGTCTCCTGGGGGGGTGGAGAGAGAGAGAGAGAGAGAGAGAGAGAGAGAGAGAGAGAGAGAGAGAGAGAGAGAGAGAGAGAGAGAGAGAGGGGGGGAATACGGCAGGCCTTCTCACCAGTTCATTCACTACCTCGCCAGGGCTCGACCTGGAATGAGATCACTATTTGCCTGCCAAGCAACCCTGGGTGGTATGAGGGACCCGCTGGACCAGATGTGTGTGTGTGTGTGTAGGTGTGAGCCCTCCTTCCTCCTCTTATCCCCTTCATTCGTTCACACTCCTTTCCCTCTCCCTATATCTATCACCCCCCACCCTCCCCCATTATCCCCCATTCTCGCTACTCTTCCCCTCCTCCTCTTCCTCACTATTTTCTGCTTCCCTTCCTCCTCATCACCTGCCCATCCTAGCCCCCTCCCCCCTTCACCCCCAAGGTCGTAATTCTCAGGGCGGGACAGACAGGGTGCGGGACAGTGTCCAGGAGGAGGTTGTTGAATTAAGACGGATGGACCACCCGACCTGCTGGCCACACTGGACCACTGACGGACCACCCGACCTGCTGGCCACACTGGACCACTGATGGACCACCCGACCTGCTGGCCACACTGGACCACTGACGGACCACCCGACCTGCTGGCCACACTGGACCACTGATGGACCACTCAGACTATTGGACCAATCATCGAAATGAATTCCATCTCTATGTATAAAGTCACACACACACACACACACACACACACACACACACACACACACACACACACACACACAGCCCCTAAAACTGACTCTTTAAGGTAAGGAGTGGAGTGTGGGAAATCTTTTTTGGCAACTTTATACACAAGACGACTCCCGGAGGATTGTGGGAGACAGACTGTAGGAGGAAGGAGGTGCGGCACAGACTAGGAAGGAGGTGTGATATAGTCCAAGAGGGAGGTGCGGCACAGTCTAGGAAGGTGTGGCACAGTCTAGGAGGGAGGTGCGGCACAGTCTAGGAAGGAGGTGTGGCACAGTCTAGGAGGGAGGTGCGGCACGGACTAGGAAGGAGGTGAAGCACAGAGAGTCCAGGAGGGAGGTGTGGCACATACAGTGTAAGGGGGAGGTGTGATACAGACAATCCAAGGTTAAGGAGGTGTGACACAGACAGTGTAGAAGGGAGGTGTGACACAGACAGTGTAGAAGGGAGGTGTAACACAGACACTCCAGGGTTAAGGAAGGTGTGACACAGAGACTCCACGAGGCAGTAAGTGTGACGTTGGCCAGCCCAGGTATCTATAACTCCCAGGTAGACCATGACAGGTGAGCCCCGAGTAATTACGTGTACAGGTAATAATGGGTAGTGTTGTCACAGGTGTCCAGTGGCTGTCACACCACACCTGAGTGTATAGGTGAGAAATTATCTGTTGGAGGCGAGGGTCGATCTCTCTCTCTCTCTCTCTCTCTCTCTCTATTTTTATTTTTATTTGTTTTTCTTTCTATATTTTAGCATTAGAGAGAGAGAGAGAGAGAGAGAGGTACACAATCAGAGAGAAATCAGATACACCTGACAGTTTCCAAGAGGTGAAGGATGAGGGAAGGGGAGGGAAGGAGGGAGGGAAGGAGGAAAGAAGGGAGAGAGCGTACGGAGAGAGAGAGAGGGAAGAGGAGAGGGAGAAAGGTAAGGCTGGAGGGAAAGAAGGGGAGGAAGGAGAGAGGGAAGGAGAGAATGAAAGAGGGGGGAAGGGAAAAGGGAAGGAAAGAGGGAGAAATGGAGAGAAAGAAAGAAAGAAAGAAGGAAGGAGGGAAGAAAGAACAGAGATTGAGGAGGACCAGCTGGTGTGGAGGACTAACTTGTGTGGAGGACCAACTGGTCTTCAGAAGCTCAGGTGAAGGATTAAGTAACAGACCAGAGGTGGGTTATTGTGAGGGAGACCAACACACACACACACACACACACACACACACACACACACACACACACACACACAGAGGAGGTATAAAGTCATTTGTTGAGTGACTGTGAGTGTCAGCAGCCATCCACCTGCAGCCTGACACAACAAACACACACACAGACTTAAAGCAGATGTGTTCTCCTCCACCCTCCTGCTTTCTGCTGGTATTTGTGTTTGTAGGAGGAGGGAGGAGGAGGAAGGTAGTGTGTACATACATCTCTACTCTCACCATAACCTAATAATAATAATAATAATAATAATAATAATAATAATAATAATAATAATAATAATAATAATAATAATAATAATAATAATAATAATAATAATAATAATAATAATAATAATAATAATAATAATAATAATAATAATAATAATAATAATAACAATAACAGCTAAAGGCTAGAAGTAAAAAATAAGCAGAGTTCACACAAACTATAAGGCGACTCAGCCACTCTCAGTATGCGCGAGGTAGTGAAACGTGGGTGACAATGTCCGTAGACCTTTTCATCAGCCCTGGTGATCGAAAAGTCACTGTGCACCGGCGAAAATCGCTCATAAAATTAGGCTAGGTTTGGTTAAGTTAATTTAGCTTTAGGTTAGCGTTACGTCAGGTTAGGGTTAGGTCAGGTTAGGGTTAGGTTTAGGTTAGGGTTAGGTCAGGTTAGGGTTAGGTCAGGGTTAGGTTAGGGTTAGGTCAGGTTAGGGTTAGGTTAGGATTAAGACAGATGAGATTAAGTTAGGTTACGTTATGTTAAGTAAATAAAATGGAAAATACTCATGACGATCGGACTTGCCACCACACCCACTGCCTCCTCCCAAGACACGTTCTGTAAACAAACAATCCTTAATATTCGTCCTTGTTCTCTGATTCTCCTGCAGAAGGTGTTAATAGCCGGGTCGTCTCTCCTAAAATAATGTCTCCCGAAATGTTAAGTCTTATTCCCCCGTACACTAGAGACGTTCTTAAGACAGTTGACGAGTTAATAAGTCTTATAGTTTAAGGGAAATTAAGTCTTATTTATCCCATAAACTAGAGACTTCTTCGGGCAAAATCCAGGAGAAAAAAGTCTATCTGGCGATAGTGTGTGTATGTGTGTGTGTGTGTTGTGTGTGTGTGTGTGTGTGTGTGTGTCCACGCAAACGTGCCTGTAAGAATGCCTGTTTGTATTTACCCTGAAATGAAAAAACTTCACTAACTATTGTGGCAAGAAAAATGGGAATTCCACACACAGACACAAATATCTCTCTCTTTGTCTCTTTGTCTCTCATTCAGTCACACACACACACACACACACACACACACACACACACACACACAAAACTCAAATAACAGCAAACA